GGGGGGGGGGCAGGCAAAAAAAGGCCTTTACGAAAGGGGGGCCTTCCAAAAAATCAAATAGTTGAAAAAGGCTTTTTTTTTGGGATAAGTCTCATCAAATCTTTGCTTGGTCGGTTATATACTTTGATCAGTTTTGTTTAGCCAAAAATAAGGTATAACTAGGGTACTAATTTGGTCTGTGATCATGGCCAATGAGATGTGGGTTCATAGAGCATTGGTAAGTTGATTATAAAATACTATGTAGTCTGCACAGCATAATGCCTGTTGGGTGCATTGGTTTGTATGGTGCAAAACAAAGCCTGAATCAAAAATTATAACATTACTGTTCACAACATACATTTTCCAGACATTCTTTGAGATGGCAATCTTGTTCTTTTTGAAGGACAGTCACTGGACAAAGTGGGCATTTAAAGTAAATCCCTTCTACTGATAGTCTCATAGGCTCATCTTTTACAGCAACTAAAGGCTGGGGGAAAAAATAACATTTCAGTATATAACTTAATAAATATATAAATTAAACTTGAAATGTTAATCATTTGTATAATTTTAGACTTGAATATAGAGTTTCTTGAGTTTTGATTATAGTTGAACGATGGGTGATTCTGTTCCAGTGAGACAACAATTATTGGTGATCAAGAGGTTTTCCAAAGTTTTCCAGATCAGAATACTAAAACGTTTTTTATCCTGAATTTCTACTTTTCTCTGAGATATTCAAGTCTAAAATCAATACTATAAATTAAAACAATTATTATTCTATCCCCTCAGGCTGAGTGAGTATGGTGATATTCACTTCTCCACTCAATGACTCTCAGCTCAGTAAATATTCCACAAATTATCACTTCGCCTTCGGTGAATATTAGTTATTAAATTGAGTTTATAATTTACATATTACCACAGGACTAAAAACAATGGCTGGTCAACAAACATTGTTAAAGTCAGAATTGTGGCACCTTGTTGGTGAGTAAGGATTCAAATCCATAGGTGAGACGAAAGTGTACTATCAATCTTGATTCCCTAACTTTAATAGTGAGGTGAGGGCTTGAAGTAACATAACTATGGCATGTTACTAACCTAATTATACAGCTTCTCATTAATCCCATATAGGTAACCGTCCAATTATTTTCTTAATTGGACAGGTCTTGTTGATATGGGATTAATCAGGCAGCTATATAATTAATAGGTAATGGGATTTCATGCTCCCCAATCAAGAAATAATTAGACTCGAAAAATTCCTCTGACTGCCAAATTAGACTCGGCCTACGGCCTCATCCAATTTGGTCAGTCCTCAGAATTTTCCTTGTCCAATTATTTCTTAATTGGACAGCATGGAGTCCCATTACATATACTAATTGCCAATCATATGACTGAAATTCTCTTTGACTTGTTAAAGGCCTACCTGTGATAGAGTAGATGCAGATTGAGATGGTGCTGAAAATTGTTTCTTATTTGCAAAAACTTCTTGTTTCACTGCAATGAGATTAAAGAAAAAAATATTGCAAATTATTATATGGCAAGGTAATTACATGTGCTATGATTGGTCAATTTGAGGCCCATAACTTACGGTATGGACTGAAAAATGAAATGGTTCACTGAGTGTCTTAAATGCTTGTCTAATGAGAGTCTGAGTAAAATCCTAGCAAGAAAGTTATCTCCTCTTTCTCTCTTTTTTTAGAGGGGGGGGGAGTGAGACTCTGCCTATATAAAACTATTCTTTTCAAATATACCAACCATCCATAAGCTGGGACTGAAGGAAACAATTATTATACTCACAAATCTATGGTTGATAAGACAAATTATCATGAATGTAACAACAACCAACAAGGAACTGTTTGATTTAATTGTTATATTGTAAAACTAGTTTTTTACCAGGTACATATACTGTAGAGTGGTATCTAGAGTAATTCACATATTTTATAAGCCAATGTTATTTGACTACAGTCAAAATCACAGCCTTTCGTACAGTGTTGCTAAGTTACCCTCTAATGTGCAACAAATGTAACACCCTACATCAGCAGAGTCTAGTCTCTCCCTCAATTGATAGCAAAGAAAAATACATGTACACTTAGTTACATGTGCAGGGAATAGTCACTTTCACAGTTCCCTGCACCATCTTGAAAGGTTCTGTGCCTTAATTTGGATCAAAGCAAGACGAACAGTGAGCTTGCAATGATAGAGACCTTTTTTTAAAACACAGGAATAAATAATCACAAATCTTTCTTTCAATGACCTACCTTCATTTCTAAGTTTCTCAAAGTCTAGGGAAGGGCTTCCACTGCTATTTGTATTCGTAGAAGCACTGTTATGCTTCCAAGTGGCTGTCACTGACTGCGGCTTTTTGCTTGCTGCTTTTTCTTGCTGGGATATTCTTAAAAGAGCTGCCTGAAATATTGTTGGTTGAAATCATAGAAAAGTCAAAAAGTTCTGGGTTTTTTTTTGTTTGTTTATCATTTAAGTTACAAGGGTGCTAAGCCAGGGGGCAAGGCTCCCCCCATCATCACTCTGTAGAAACCTTAAAATCTATGTACTCACATGATCAGTTCGACTCACCAATTTTCTAAAACAGGTTTTGCCCCCCTCCCTACATCCCCCCCTCCCCCCAAGGCAAAATCCTGGCTACACCCCTGAGTTATAAGCCAATCAAAAACCCTTATAAATGAGTAAATCCCCAGGGGTTAGAGGATAGTTGTCAAACAGTATTACCTCTCCTGCCCTCTGTGCACTTGTACAGGGAACAGCCCTTGGGGCTGGTGTACTTGAATGTGAAGTTGAGGGACGGTGACCAGTATTGCTCTCAGTCAAGGTGTGTCCATCACCAGCTTTCCTGAACTTGATCTCAAGCTTAGCTTTCTCGAAGAATTTCTTCATAGCTTCATGGATTCAAAATGTGGTCGTATATACCTTTTCCTTCGTATTTTACTGCTGAGTGGAATTTTAAAAAATGAGATGAATACAGCAAAAACAATTTATTTTTATAAAACATGAATTCACAACAATAAGACATAGCATTAGAATATATTCCTAAGGCAATCAAAATTAATTTTAAAAGCAAATAGAACAAAGAATAATATATTGAATATATTTTTACGATTATTTTTATAGCGCTTGTCATCATTCAATTTTGCACGAGATTTGCACGAGATTGGCACGAGGTAAAAATTTAAAAACATTCAAATTCATGCAAAATAAGACGAAGATTTAACACGATTCTTATCCTTCTATATAAATCCAATTTGATCTTGAACTTCATGGAATGAGATCGGGAGCTTTAAAAATAAGTTACCTGCCAGAGAACGAAAGATTTTTTTCCCTTTTCTATCAGAATGAATTTTCTCTCCTCGTTTATGTTGTTATTGGTGTAAGCGGATTATCTCTTCCGCTTATGCGCAATATTCTAAAACCACAGGCAACCCATAAACAGTTACCTTACACAAAAAACGACGGTAAAAAATAATACCATCACAATTTTGGTCGTCTCCATTTTTAGAAAAAACAGAGATGAGTTTCTAAAGGCAAAACCGCATAATACAGGTTAATTCAACCCGCTTTAGCGGCTTACATTTATCTGTTATTTTCGGTGGTGTCAGAGTGAATACATTTGACTAACAGAGGCATATCGTATTAGTGTAAACATAAAAAACGGAGGCTTTTGGCAACGCTGTATTCATCATTCATACTGCATGATACTGGCACGTAAATCTCGTACCCAGAGCCTGCGTTTCTTGTGGCCTGTGGCGAAGAACGAGGGCTCTGGCATAATCCATTTCTTGGCGCATGCGCAATATTCCGGAAGCGAAATATGATGAATGAAAATCATGCTTTCAAACAGAGTTCTGTGTTTACTTCCGATCAAAATGATAATTAGGAATGGGGAACACTTTTTTATCTTTGGCAAGTCTTTGAACGCATGCGCTCTTATACCGGAAGTCCAAGAAATCCTGGTCTCGAAAAATGGATTATGCCAGAGCCATCGTTCTTCTCTACAGGCCAGAAGAAACGCTGTTTTTCACTTGCGCAGATGATGATATCGCATCTTCCGATAGGCCTCCTCGAGAAAAATATTCTTCGTTTGACTTAAATTCATATTAATGGGTCTTCTCATGAGCAACAGATCGCAACCTGCAAGAAGCAGTTTAGCTCGACCGCTCCAAGATATAAAAAGTCTCAGCGGGAAAACGGCCATGCGCGCTAAAGTGGTACAATGAATCCGGTCGTCAAAACGATAGCCAACTGGGATAACTCTTATTACTGGGAAATAACTCCTTGGCGTAATATTTTCACATTTTAGACCACGTGTTTTATGCATGTTTGAGTTGTATCCATATAGTCACGTGTCTTCTCATGAGCAACCATTAAACAAAGAAGCGATACTCTAGGGAATGACACGTGGTTTGTACTATGGGAAAACTTGCAAACTAAAGAGGTGTATAGAGGCTTTGTACCATCACGTGATGGCAGCCATGACAGGAACAATTGAAACTGATCTAATCTGATTTACATAAGAAAGAATTCATGTTCCCAGTGGGAAAAGACTCTATTGTTGTGTCTCTTGTCGTGGCTGCCAACACGTGATGGTGCAAAGCCTTTATTGTGGGCTCCTTGAAATTTCTATACTTCTAGTGTGTAGCACTTATCCTTATTTGAAAAACACATTGGTTTATAGAGAGTGTGCAACCACATGACGCAAATATTCTTTGAGATGTGAATGACAATGAAACAGCCGCCATGTTGGTTAATCTAACAATATATCTCACCTTCCCCCTCGGTCTTAAAGGTACACTTAATAGCATATTGGAAGTATAAACCTTCACAACTTAGAGACGTATCACTCAAATCAAGAAATATTTTACCATTCAACTATTTACTTCATGTAGAATCAGTACTGAAGGTATTGTCGAAGGGTTCATTTGCACTTTAAGCTTCACGGCTCTCGAATGAAAAACCTTGTGGAATAAATCTTCTCGAAACAATATCGGTTTTTGCAACCGCGTTCCAACTCTTACACAATCTTGCTACTCTTATTAAGTCTTTTATGGAGAATTTGAGGAATATTTCTAGCAAAAGATCTTCGTTCATTAAAACTTTCTCTACTGCCATTTTGTCGACCATCTTAAAAAACGCCTGCGCTATAGAGGTCAGCGGTGAGGATCATCAACACAGGAAACCCAAGCTTTTCGATTATTTGCCATTGAAAAGATCAAAATTTTGTACATGTTTTGGTCAGGATGAACATTCTCTCATAAACAAGCTTCATGTGGTTACGAGAACGTACATGTCATTCCGTAAGTTCAATATATTTTTTCATATATTGTATCAAGTATTTAGAGTCCTAGAATCCTATCTAGAACCGACTTGCGTTAATCTTGATAACTCCACGTGGTTTGTCACGATAAAGAATATCACAAGCCTTCCTGTTATGATTCAATTTACTTAACTTATTATTCAAATACAGTTTAGATTGATATTTTCTTACCATACAAGCCTTTCACAACTTCAAGTCGCGTAAAAGATGGGCCAGCTCAACTAGGAACCGTGGACAGCTGTTTCGGCCTGCTTTGGGCCTCGTCAGCACGGTGTATCTAGTGAGCTGGTAGAATCCCACGAAAAAGTAGTACATGAATGAGGCGGTAAGTTATGAAAGGCTTGTATGGCACTCTTCTTCAGCCGTTTCATATAAGGCTCATAATTTGCCTATTACGCATGTTCTTATAAAATATACGAGCCATCCCACATACTCGAGTCTAGCATTGCAATACGAAAATGCGAGTAATTATCAGGTCCATAAGAAAAAAGCGTTTTGTCTATAGCTACATGTTCGAAAAAAAGACCCACGTGTGCAAAAGCACAAGTAAAGTAAGTCCTAACTTCATAATCCAGTTATAAAATATTTGATTTAATTGTTTTAAAGAACAAATACCAACACCTTCTTACAAACAAATGTATAACGAATAAACCCGGTAAATAATGTTCCAAAGTTCGAGCTAAAATATATTTTGAACTGGATTTATTTTGATCTTAGCCACAAGGGCGATATAGGTTGATTCCAGCCAGAAGGAAACATGGACTTGAAGTCAAAATCTTTGAAGAAATCCAAGCGATGGCTAGAAGAAAATAAAAAAATAAAAAACCAACATTAATACACTGCATATACTACAACAAAACATTCAAAGTTTTTTGAAATACCTGTATGAGAAACAGGGATTATCAGGAGAACAGGAGAGAACTAAGAGCAGCGCTGTTGACGGGCTGGCACAATAGATTTATCCCGCGTAACCTCAAGATTTAGCCCGAGGTCACGCGTGGTTAAACAAAAGTTTCTTTCTCATGATAGTGCATTTTCGTATGACTGTGAAAAGCTCAGTGCCGTGTCGTGACCATGATGTTTTCTAGAATTTTAATTGGCTGATTTTTTTCTCGCGCAATGTGATTGGTCTGAAAGTGCCGTGACTTTGGCGTGACCGTGTTCGCGTCTTGTTTATGCCGTGTTCTGGGTATTTGATTAGATGGAGAGTGAATTCTCGAGCAATGTGATTGCTCTGGCGTATCCCTAGTCGTGTCAAGAACGTGCTCGTGCCTTGAGCTTTTCACAGTCATACGAAAACTGCTCTTATAAACCCGGCACCGTGTTGTAAGAGTCCGTATTGACTGGCAGGAACAATAGATTTATCCCTCGTGGCCTCGCGCTTTAGCTCGAGGTCACGCGTGGTTAAACAAAGACTTCTTTGTCATGGTACTAAACCCGGTACCGTGTTATAAGAGTCCGTCGGCTAATCGTTTGGTTCCGACACCGACAAACTTTTTGAAATAATGGGTATTTTCTCTTTCCATTTTCTACTAAGATAGATTCCCCAACCATTCCAATGATGTACTTACAAATCTGGGTAGGCAGTCTTAGAGGCAGGATACAGAGACTCGTAGATCTTGTTATTGTCAGGTCCATGTATAGCATAGGCATTGATCTTCCTCATTCCTGGTGGGAAGTAGTCTAATGGTACGATGGCTGTACCATTCCACGTCATGCTGTTTAGATCCTTACTTGCTGAATACCGCATCGGTAGCTTGGTCTGAAAAGGAAGTCACTCATAATTGCTTAACCTTGCTTATCTATATATCCATCACCCTTGTGCTAAATCCACATGAAGCACAGAGCGAAGAACAAGAGCCCTCGTTCTTCGCTACAGGTCAAAATAAACGTAGTCTCTGGGTACGAGATTGTTGGGGGAGGGGGTGGTGAGGGGCTTAGATAGGAAGTGATAAAATAACTAAGTTCTAGCAAGCTTACTGATTGCTCAAAATGTTTCTATTTTACTTCAATTATTATCTAATGTTTTTGAAGTATCTGAATCTCTGAAAGTGCTTTCACAATAAAAATAAAACAGTAGTATTAATCCATGAGCTTGTTATTTCATAACAGAGATAAAAAAAAATAAAAAAAAGATTTCTTTTTTTTTWAATATATAGCACATAAGAATGAATGAGACCAAAAGTGAGTGCGTTTACTTTGGGCGTAAATAGACCTCTTCGGCTTTGGGTAATGTTTTCCCATTTCAGACCACGTGTCATTCCCTTGAGAATAAGATTCTTTGTTTGAGCTGTATCCATATTTATGTGTCTTCTCATGTGCAACCGAGCGCAAACCTTAAACAAAGAAATGATAGTCTAGGGAATGACATGAGGTCCGAAATGGGAAAACATTAGAGCCGAAGAGGTCTATTACGGTACCCCTTATATTAAGGACCAGTTGGTTCCATCAAAAGGCACCCTTAAACATTTTGAAGTAAACCTACTGAGCAGTGTCCATGGTAGTAGAATGGTTCTAAGTTCTTGTAAACTGTGTTTTACCTTGAATGGTTTGCGGACTCCATCAAGTAGAAGAAGAAGATGTGGGCCATGACTAAATGGAAACAAGAGATCGTACGAGACCTTTAATGTAACATCAAAAGCCATTCTCTGACTCTGTCATAGAGAATGTGTAAATAAGGATACCTGATAGAGGGTGTGGATGTTTAACTGTTAACTGAAAATTGGCCTAAAAATGAGTAGTTAACTGACAATTCCCCTAAAACTAGTAGTTAACAGATAACTGTCATATTCCATTATTTTGGTAATATTATGGCAAGTGCTTATAAAATGATTAACAGTTAACTGACAATTGGCCTAAAAATCAGTAGGTATCTAACAATTGAGTACACCCATCCACCTATTCACAAACGGCCCTGATAGAGTCCAAATCTTCTATGAAATTTGCAAAATGTTTTATTATTATTTTATTAACTTACGGTGATACTTCTAGTTCAAGATACTTCTCTTTCTCACCCAGGAAAAACATTTCAGCAACTGGAAGAAATTAAATACACCTATGAAAACATGTAGGATAGGGAGAAGGGAGTGGAGAGGAACGGATGAGCGAGGGAGAAGCGGAGGGAGAAACAACGGGAAAAATCTAGGATAGGGAGAAGAGAGAGCCACGAAAAAGGAAAAAGAAAGAGCGAGGGAGAAGCGGAGGGAGAAACAACAGGAAAAATCTAGGCCTAGGGAGAAGAGAGCCATAAAAAAGGAGAAAGGGAGGAGGGACATTGAAAAATGGCAAAAAGAATAGGGGAGGAGAATTTTTGGGACAAAAAAGGAATTTTTTTGTTTTGAAGCCCAGATTGGAAAGCTAAGTAGTGTATCTTTATTGTATTTTGTTTTTATATTGTTCATGTTTATTTCGGCTAAAGCCTCGTGTGTATACTGCACATTAATACAAGTCACATAAGTGGGATATTCCTTTGCGTGACACGGCAAGTCATATACGTCAGCCCAATCACAGTGAGCGAGAATATGCTCTCCACCTAATCCAATACCCAGAACACGGCACAGACCCGGCACTGCATGCCAGGCCAATAACATTGAGCAAAATATTAACAAAAAATAATAAAAACAATCAGCCAATAAAAATTATAGAAAAGAAAGRAAAAAAAAACGGTTTGTTAATGCACGCATACATCACTGTAATACGAAAACTGCTCTATTATATGGACGGAGGTTTTTTTCATTCCTAGTCTCACCTTCGTAGTTCCACAGCTGCCAGCAAGGCTGCCCTGCAGCACACGGGGGTGGTGCTGGCTGGTTAAACAATGGGCCACTCACTTCAAGGCGAACATTAGTGTTGTCTTCTGCGCTGAGCTTGAACTTGATCGGGGCATGCTTTATGGGTTTGCCATCCCACTCGGTCAGAATGGAAAACTCATACTTCTACAAGAATATAAATGATAGTGAACCATCAGTGGCTATACTACAATTAAAAGGGCTCAAGCTTAGCCTACAGGAGCGGCGGAAGCTGAAAATCATAGGTGGGGCACTGAAATATTATCTTTAACGCTATGTGATAATGACCGCTGTTTTCGGTTTGATTGCGGACGCATGCGCCGTAAAACTATATGACTGCGAACAATATTTTGTGGGAGGGGGGCTAGGTCCCCAAAAACAATTTCGTGGGAGGCACCTGCCCCCCCCCCCCCCGGTTCCGCCGTGCCTGCCCTACTGGGTTCAAGGAGGGTAAGCTTGAGACGTTGTGACTGTAATGAGGAAAGACAATAGAAATTTTTACCCTGGGCATAATGTTTTCTCATTACATACCCATTTGCATTCCCTAGAATATCATTACTTTGTTTAACGATCAAGAATATAATTATTCTCATTTGCATCAAATTTAACATCTATTCTCATTCAAAGTCTTTCCAATCTCAAAATTTTTAGTAAAACATGAAAGCATACTCCTAGACATTTGATAAGTAAATAAAATATAACTCTAATATTCAAATGGATGGATGGATGGATGGATGGATGGATGGATGGATGGATGGATGGATGGGAAAATGTCAAAAGTATATTAAGCCCATCGAGACGTATATATGTAAAATTTTGCTCGAGAAGAAACTTTTGTCGTGGAGATGCTTTCCATTCTTTTGCACGAAGTTGATTGACAAAACGACCATCTACAAGTATCATTCACATCACTAACAAAATGAAGCTTTCAAAATAAATATAAAATACAAATACCTTTGGGCACTGTGTGGATCCACATCCAAGAAAAAAGAGCACGAATGATAACAAGAAAACGAGCAACATGATGGCTAGTTCATCTAATGCGACTGATCAGTTAACCTTATGCTATATGGTCTTAAAGTCGCTCCAAAAAAGTTTATAAAAAACACAAACACAGCTAAACTAACTACGAGAGGTCTGTCAGAAACCAGTCCTGACAAATCCCACAGCTGATTTGGTCGTGTAGTCGGGTTTTTGATTCTGTTTAATTTCTCGGACAACCAACACCAGAAAATTTGCTTAAGACATACAGACTATTGTATTGTCTAGTGCTCACTGAGGTACTAACTTCATATGTCGTGTACACGAAGGTGACATAGAAGTCATAGTAGACAAACACTGTCAAAACTAGTACTATTTTCGGGAAATTAATTTGGATCAAAATATCTAGCCATTGCTTGGAATTTAGATGCAAATCTGTTGCGAATTAGCGACCAATACCAGTGTAGATGGAGTTAAGATAAACAAAAGCTAGTGAACAGTGAAAACATTTTGGTTTTATGCGGGTACCAGAAATAGAATTCGGAGTACATTCCAGAGTTTCATATCGGGGGAGGACTGGGTCGAATCGTGAAAACGATGCCATAAATATCTCCATTTCCAAGTGATTTTTGTTCATTCGAGCAAAACGGGGCTGTATTTGTCGAGATGAATAGTATGGTACAACTACATATATTATAATGGTTTATTTTAACCAACCAGCCTGCTCAACAGCTGTCCAGTCCCCCCAGCACCTACACTTGATAGGAATGAACTTGGCAAAGAGGTTTGCACCATCAAGTGCCCTCGCCCATTATACAGCTTGGACTGCTTGTGGTTAGATGACAGAACAATAAAATCCTTTTGCTCTTGGGAATTGAATTATTTTTCATGTAAAAAGATTGTATTGTTCCTGCCATCTAACATGGCTGCCGTCACGTGGTGGTGCTAAACTCTATATCTCACCTCATTGGCTCTGACAAACGTTCTATCCATTGGCGGGCTACCAGGTGCAACACCTGTGAAAATATTTACACAAATATCAAACACCGATGTTTGTAGGTGGGTAGCTATGGTAACTAAGAAAGTCTACTGGTGAGGAGGGTCTGCTGGGGAAAAAGAAGCTCTGGGGGTTTTCTCCTTCCGCAAAACCTAAGAAGTTAGTTCCAATTCAAACTGTGATTTAGCCGAGCCCTGACTGAGGATGTTTCAGAGTTTTATCTGTGAGTTAGCCATGCCCTGAATTAGATAAGCCCATAGGTTGTTTCAGGGTTTGATCTGTGAGTTAGCCATGCCCTGACTTAGATCAGCCCAGAGGCTGTTTAGGGTTCGATCTGTGAGTTAGCCATGCCATGACTTAGATCAACCAGAGGTTGTTTCAGAGTTCTATCTGTGAGTTAGCCATGCCCTGACTTAGATCAGCCCAGAGATTGTTTCAGGGTTAGATCTGTGAGTTAGCCATGCCCTGACTTAGATCAGCCCAGAGGTTGTTTCAGGGTTCGATCTGTGAGTTAGCCATGCCATGACTTAGATAAGCCCAGAGGTTGCTACGGGGTTCCATCTGTGAGTTAGCCGTGCCCGCGGGCTCAATAAAGTTTGAAGTTTAGATCACGTCTCACCCCGCTTACCACAGAACCCACAAGACTTTGGGCATCTTTTTCTCATGTACTTTTTGTTAACAGTGCAATAACCCACGTATCTAGAGAAATATTGACACTTGTTCTTGCGTTCGTCTTCACACTTCGGAATGAAAGCTTTGTCATGTCCTACAAGGAAATAAATTAAAATACAAAAGAAGATAAAAAAATGTTCCGCCGAAATCCGAAGTCCATGTTAATTCCTTTGAAACAATACTAGCGAGAGAAAAAAAAAAAAACGAATCATTTTAGAGTCAGTGATCAATTACAGGAAGCCCAAGCTCAGTAGGTTACAGCGTATGTTTAAAAAAGCTTCTTGGTGCTCAGTTGAGTAATAGACCCCTTGCATGTGACGTCAGTTTAGTGGACAAAACAAAAGAATTTCAATCTCCTGAGTGATGTCCTCCAAATGAACACTTTTAGGTTAATATGGAAATACAAAAGAAATCGCACTTTTTCTCGATAGAATTTGTGGTATTTCTTTTGTGTTTCCATGTTAGTCTCGCATCCACGATACTTTTGAGAAGGATCAATTGAACTGCATTCCGAAGTACTGCAAGGGGTCAATACGACATTTTGGAAGCGCCCAAAGCACGAAAGAAGTGTAAAGAGAGTCGTGGGCGAGTGCTTTTGACACTTCTTTCCTGCTTTCGGCGCTTCCAAAATGTTGTATTGCTAAACGGAGCAAGGATAAAAGCTATCTTATTTGTTTTATTATATAGAAAGAAAAAAATGTGTTGAAGTTTTCAACCCTGTTTTCTAAAACTTCTTTCTTTGCTAAGTTGGGTGCGCGGAATCGTTTGGCGTTATGCAGCAACCGTGCTCTGTTGTCGACTAATAAAGCACAGTTCTCGACCAATCAGAGCGCGTGTACTATTTAAATCATAAACTAAATGTGGTCAATGAAAAACCGCTTTTTGCAAGATTTTTTAGGAAAATTGTTATTGTCACAAAATCCAGATTGGGCTCCCTTATTTCGTCGAGTGCAGTGCAGTAAGAAAAAAAGGGCTATGGGTACGAGATCGCTAATTCGTTAAATTGCATGCATGGAGCATGCGCAGAGGTTTTTTTTCTTATGGCTCCTTTGGATCGATAGGTTTCCTCACACAAGAAAAGCAGTTTGAAGAGATGTATTACATGTTTTACCTGGGCTATGTGTTGGTGGTTCAGCGGTTTCTTGATCATGCGTAAAGAGAATAAGAGGAAGGCATTCCTTTTTTAACAAGTGATTTACTTATTATTAATCTGAGCATTATTTATAAACTTTTGTCATATTTTACATTTTTTTATTCGTAGTTTTTAGGTTAAGGCATGGGTTAAGTTGACAACACATCGGGAGTAGATAATGAGATTCAAATACTTTTATCAGCGGATTGAAACCCAGAAATATTCTCCTTCACAGTTCCCTGCGCTATCTTGAAAGTTTGCCATGCCTTTGCATCATCGAAGCGAGACGAACGGTGAGCTTGCAATGATAGAGACCTTTTCAACGCCTTGAACAATTATTCTCATGTCTCTATCATTGCAAATTCACCGTTCGTCTCGCTTCGATGCAAAGGCAAGGCTACTTTTCAAGATGGTGCAGGGAACTGTGAAGGGGATCATTGCAAACATAACAATCTTTACTCACCACAGAATCCACATGATTTTGAACAGTATTCATGCATGAAGTGCACATGATATTTACAGTAGTTGATGTTGTCTTTGACATAGTTGGCGCACTCCTTTAGTTTGTCCACGCAAACTGAAAATTAAACACCAAAGATATATTAAAGCGCTTTAAAGCATTAGAGTTTAGAGAGAAGGGATAAGCGATGGTTTAAATAACCACACAGAGCTAAAGAATTCCTATTTCTCAATGATCGGGTAAAATTTCGAGGCTTTATTTCACGTTTCAATGATTTTATTGAAATTTTTGATGAATCCCCCTACATTTCCTTATAACATGACACCACAGAAACCCAGCTTGGGCTACCTGTGATTGCAGCATAGTGTCTTGTACTACAACTGCCTGCAGATTCCCCTTAACACTTTGTCTTGCTTGATTACTTGGCATTTCAGACCACGTGTCATTCCCTAGAGTATCATTTCTTTTTTTAACGATTGCGCACGAGAAGGCACAAATCATGAATATGGATACGACTGAAACTAAGAATCTTCTTCTCAAGAGAATGGCATGCGTTCTGAAATTAGTAAACTTTACACCAAAGTCGATTCGGTACAAAGAACTCTTCACTTTCGGCGAAAAGTTTTCCAATTTCAGAACCACGTTTCATTCCATATAGTACGATTTCTTTTTTATCGTACGGCGCACGAGAAAAAGCATGAATATGAAGACGACTCAAGCAACAATCTTGTTATAAACAGAGAATGACCCCAGGGGTGAGAAGCGAGGTCACTACCACTCTGCCACCCTTGAATGAGGACTGTTTTTTGGGTTAATTTGCAACGTCCCCTGTGATTAGTTAGGTTTAGGGGCGGGGTTGGGGAAAGGTTATTGTTTTCTATTGTTCTACACATGTGTGCCCTCCAATAGGATCACATCTTGCAAATTCGTGAAAGACGAACCTGCTTTTCCACCCCAGTTTTACCTGATTTCTTGGTCTTGGATCTAAGATGTGATCGTATTGTAGTCGGTAATATTGTAGTACGAGCCACAGCATCGATGTTCTGTTGTCTGGTATTCAAAGGCACCGTAGTTGGAGTATCATCAACTTCCACATCTTGATTCTCAGTAACAGTACTAGGGATTTCTGTTATTGGTCTTTCCGTTGATGAAACCGTTGTCTTGACTTCTGCAGTACTTTCCTCTGCGCTCGTTTGTGCTTCAGTAACTTCACTAGGAGTAGCAACTTTGATATCTGTTTTCGGATTGCCTGGGCTCGGAGCCTCGGTAACTGGGCTTCCTGTGTTAAAGTTTGGATCAATAGTGTCTGCGTTTTCTGTGGTCGGGCTGGTATCGTTGGGAACTGGATGTTTTGTACTTGGACTGGAAGCGTAACTATCTGGTCTAGCAGTACTGGGAATATCAGTGGTAACTCTTGGCTTAGAGCTCGAGACTTTAGTGTCCAGATTTTCAGTACTTCTTGCGGTGTTTGCATTTGGGACTCTATCGAAGACGCTCGGAGCTGTCGTTTGTATAGCTTCTTGTTTTGCATTAGACGTTGCCCTAGCAGTACTTTTATAATCTGTAGTTATTTCAGCTGGTTTTCTTGTAGTCTCTGCGCCATCAGCTGAGTTTTGTACCTTAGTAGAAGACGCTTGAGCCAAGCTGGGGCTCTCAGACAAACGGTTATCACTAGTCGTAGGGAATCCAGTCTCTGTCGTTGAAGAAGGGACGCTAGTTGCTATGGAATCTGGAAACGATGTCTGTGAATTTGTCTCTGTAACATCAGTTGATTTTGCAGCCTCGGTATTGACTTCTAATGAGCTAGTTACCTTTGTTGGTTTGCTCGTTGTATCCTGACTTTGTGTGATAAAAGTAGATGTGGTTGTATGAACAATATTTATTGACTGTGTTTTCAAACTAGACCCAGTCGTTTGGGGTTGGTCTTCTGATGTAATAGTCCTATCAGTTTTTGAATCGGTCGTTAGTAATTCATTTTTCCTCGAGTCTGACAATGTTGTTGCCTTGTGGGGTATTTCTGTGGTTTCTGACGAAATTCGTGAATCAGCAGGAKATGTCGTTGTTGCGTTAGGGGATGTTTCTCGCTGATGTGCGTTCCCTGTCGTACCCCGCGTATTAACGGCACCTTGAAAGACCCTTGTCATTTCTCGTGGTGTGCTATCGGTGGAAGGAGAGGTTTCTTGGGTGATTTCTCCATTTGTGGGTCCATAAGTATGTTGTGGATGTACAACTGGCTGGGTAGTCCCCTCGGGCGAATAACCTTGATCTTCTGTTGAACGAATTATCCATGTTAGATTCTAGAATGGAACTTTATCGCACATCGACACAACAAGCCTTCGTTGCACCCGCATAAATTTATTCTCAAGCACTTGAATGCGAAGCCACGCGTGATGGAATAATGGCTGCCGCGTGAAAAGGGCCAATAGACCTCTTTACCTTGGCGTAATGTGTTTCCATTTCAGACCACGTGTCATTTCCTACAGTATTATTTCTTTGTAACGATTGCGCATAAGAAGACACACGAACCCAAACAAAAAAATTTAAAAATTTACAAWAAGATTTTTTGCGGAGTGAGAAAGAGCGGTGAATCCCGGCGGAAAAAGAATTGAAGCACAGGAGGGAAACAACAAACAACTCTACTCAAATACGACACTGAGCTTGGCAGGACTTGAATCTAGTCGAATTATAAAGAGGCAAGCGCTCTCAACTCTACGCCACCCGCGCTTCCCTAAAAGCAGTGGTATGTGCGTTGGCTAACAAACGACTTCCGTGGTGTTAAAACGCTCGCCTCTCATCTCTGAAGATCAGGGTTTAAACTCCCAGTCACCCCATGTAAGCTGAGTTCGTTGGTTCCCTTTCTGAATAGACCCTTTTCGAGTTCCAAATTACCGCTGTGTTTCTTGATTACAGACTCATTTACTCAGGCTAAGCCTCGAATCAGTGTGTAATTACTCGCACATACCAACGGTAAAGTAAAGAATGCACAAGTTCAACAATACGAACACTTTGAAACTTGACGGACCTTGACTGGAAAACGTGAATATTCTTCACGAAATCGAGGCTTAGCCTGAGTAAATGAGTCTGTAATCAAGAAACACAGCGGTAATTTGGAACTCGAAAAGGGTCTATTGCATCCGAGGGTCTTTCCAGTCCGATGGTTTTCCCTCCTTCCTCTCAAACCGACTCTAACTAATTGAAACCGTTGCTAGAGCTGGGCCCTGGGGTCATATAAGGATTGTAAAGCGGCTGCAAGAGGCGCCTTCACATGCCTTCAGTTCTTCCCCCTTGTGCTGCGCTAACGCTTTACTTTGCGGTGGTGATTGGCGATGACAAGTTTTATCATTATTTTTCATTTCAATGAAGTATACTCACCGCAAAAACCGCAGGTTTTAGCGCAATACTTGCTTCCGAATGATTTGCGTATCTGACATTCCTCAGGGGTGAAGGCTTTGCAGTCATCAAGCTCATCCTGACAGCCTGTTACAGTAGCAAAGAATTTCATTAAACGCAAGCATTTGACACAAGACACTATGCATGAACCTTAGCCAAGGCTATCAGTTACCCACAGCACGAGAAGATCGTGAAACGTCGCTCTGAAAGCGGGGCTGCGCGCCAAAATAAAAACCATTATTGATAAATATTCTTGGATGAGATTCAAAAGCTCTGATTGCTTTAACCCTTCGCTGGTGAGTAAAGAGTATCTTTCTTTTAAGTAATAAAGAGTTTTCAAGTGCCGTCACATCAACCATATTGGTGTACCAAAACAATACATTTTCTATGTTCCGAGAATTTTTATGCAAAAATTGTGAGAAAAATCTTCTACTGAAAAATCAGCTATGTCCCAGCAAACCTACATTAATTCCTTAAATAGGTTCACCAGTGTTATTGATTGAGAAAAAACTTTTACATTCAGTTACTCACCTGGCTTTTTAACCGGTAGGAGAAAACCTGGGAAAGAAATTGCAAAATAAGAGTTGGATACCGCGATACTCCAGTTTCGAGTTCTCTTTGCTCAGTCTTAGCCTCGTTTGTGCGTTATAATATTCAGCTATTCAACCAAAACCCTTAGCATTTTAATCAATTTGTATTTTTTCGTAGTGCGTACATTCCTTACTATACATACAATGGACCTTAATAAAACAAAAGAACACATTTGTACACAATCGAGGCTAAGACTGAGCAAAGGCGAACTTGAAATGGGAGTATTCGTACATGTTTGGTTTACTGTACTCAGCGTGTTTTGTGGGAGGAGTCTTTATAGCAAGAGTAGAAAGCTGAAATAGAGGCTTTGCACCATCACGTGGTGGCAGCCATGACAGGAGCCACAACAATAGAGTATTTTCCAACTGGGAAGCTGAATTCTTTCTCATTTACAATTAGATTAGGCCAGATTCAACTGTTCCTGCCTCCTGTCATGGCTGCCTTCACGTGATGGTGCAAAGGCTTTATAGCAACGACTGTGAAGGAAAGTTACTGGGAAACGCATTTGTTTTGAAACACTATCCCGAGTGGAGACATTTGAAAGTGGAGGTCTATCGTATTAGGGCGGCCAGCAAAAACGGAGGCTTTTAAAGACGCTGAATTCATTCACACCGCGGTACATATTATCCCGCGTGCACAAATGACGATAATGCACTATTCTCGATCGTATATAGCTTCGTTTTAGATCGCTTCAGTGTGAACGCCTATGAAAACGCTAAGGTGGAGGCGAAGTTTTCAATGCATTTTCGGTGAGAAGAAAGCAGAGCGTTTCCAAAGCGATAGCTATTCAAAATCTACGACGGCGACGTCAACCGGAAGTGTAAATAACTTCACTTTAGGGTTTCGCGCCCTAAATGTCTGTCTTCTCTGTGGATGAGTTGACCTTACTGACGATGTTTCGAATAAAATCTCCTTTGAACAGAACCCCAAAGAGAGATTATTTACATTTCCGGTTGACGTCGCCGTCGTAGATTTTGAAAATCTTAAGGTCAAGCTCAAGTAAGGGGAACGTAGCCTTAGAAAGAGGTTTATGTCGACTCCTCCCCAGTTGTCTATCTGATATATCCGAAAGGGGAGTCCCGAAAGGGTCTTATTTCTCCCCTTCTCTTGGGGTATTAGAGAGAAGACTGGGGACATACGAATCAGAGGTTTATATGTTGCAGTGTAAACCCTTACCACACATCTGGCAAGTGTTGGAGCAGTACTTTCTGAAGAATCCATTGAGTCCAGTACATTGAGATGGATTCTTTATAAACACTGAACAGTCGGACAATATGTCAAGGCAGCCTAAAAATATAAAACGACAATTTAAAAATATTTGTGAAGAATGACCAGAAGAAGAACAGGCTCTTAGTTTCTCTCTTCGGGTCACAAATACGTTTGAAATCAGGGATTGCAACTGCAAGGCAGCTATTTTAATTATATTGCGCGACAAAATTGCGAGAAAAGTTGCAAGGGACTGGCCTGGTGTAACATACTCTGTCGGCGCAACTGTGCAATAAATTTAATGCAGCGCACTGGTTTTATTGCACGACATAACAGTTGCGAGACAAGTTACAAGAAAAATGGTGCAGTTTATCAGCAACTTTAGTCAGTCTTTGAATTAACCAAAACTTGTCATACACCTTAATCCAAAATGGTGCACGGCAGGTTGAAAACGAGGCATCCAGGGCCAAATTTACAAATTTAAAGTATTTTCTTATAATTTGATGCTGCAAAATTATCGCGTTCCTGAATGTAAGAAGAAAAGAAAGACAGAACAAGTGAACAAGTGTTTACTTTGCATTGACAACATATTTTTTCTTTGCATTTGACCCTGGATGCCTCGTTTACATGTAACACACTTGGCTATGCGCCATTTTGGACTTAGGTGTATAAAAGCTCTATACTATGACTTTAGTCCTGACATTAGCCCCTTCTTTCAACGCTCCACTTTTTTGTTTTAGTCGCGAAAGCACAGAAATCCCAAAAAAGTGGAGCGATGAAAGAGTGGACCAGCTCATTAGTGAAGATATAGAAAACGCGCGCGCGTGCTGTGTGCTGTCATAAAGCACGCGGGGGTTGGCAGAACACGAGAGAAGTGTTAGGAGAAGCACGACGCGTAACGGAGTGCTTCTGGACACTTCTCGAGTGTTCTGCCAATCCCCAAGTGCTTTAGGACTGCACACAGCACAGCAAGCAAGTTTTTTTTTCTTTTATAAAATACAAATTACGATAATAGATAGGAATGACGCAACGGAAAGTGCGCGCGCGTGCAATGTGCTCTCATAAAGCACGCGCTCCAAACCAATCAGAACGCGACATTCATAACAGTTATTTTATAAAAGGATATACACTTCGAAATGATTAAAATCATGGTAAGATTAGGGGATGAACTCACAGAATCCGCATGTCTTTCGACAGTACTTCTTCATGAGGCGGCCATCGAAGAGATTACATTGAGTCTGACTCTTGATGTAGGTGCGACAATCTTCTAGCAGGTCTTCACAAACTGAAAACAAAAATAGAAACTAAGAATTACCAAAAAAAAAAACACGTCCTCTTATTTGTAAGCTACAAAAATATACAAATTGAGCTACTCAAACATAAAAATATATATTAAAAAAACATGTGTTTCTACATACTTTCATTATTGTATGAATTACCTGGGGGGAAAATTGAAAAGGAGAAGATTAAAAAACAATACGGAAGAGGAGAGGGACGGGATGAGGCAGGGAGGGAGGTGTAAGGAAGGGAGGGAGGGATGAGGATAGGAAGGAAGGAAGGAAGGAATCCCAGACATCTCGTAATACTCTGCGCAATGATATTTCCTTGTTGGATGTAAATATGTAAGCAAACTAAAGGGAATTCATATATTAGGATTTAGAAACAAAATAAGGAAGGTAGGTAGGAATGGAGTAAGGAGGGAAGGGAGGAAGGGATGAAGGGAGGAAGGAGAAGGCAGGAGGAAACATGTTAAAGAGAAATGAATAGAGAAATTGAGGGAGTAAGGAAGAAGGAAGGAAGAAGGAAGGAAGAGATATCAAGAAAATATAAAGATTATATTTTGTTTCTTACCAATTCCTGATGTTTTACCGATCGATACGTCATCTTCTGCCCCTTTGAAAAAAAAAAGAGAGAAAGAAACTAGTTCATTAGTGTGTAGTCTCCTTAGCAGGCGCTACTAGTGGCGTCACTAGTTGCCATGTTGATCACCTTTACCCATAAAAGTAAGGCAAACACACGAAACTCAAATATTTTCCGTCATCTTTGTTTTGTTTTTAAAGGACATTGGCAATATAGAAAGACGCAGTCTGTTTAAGGCTCACACTATGATGCAACATTAAACATAYTATTTTTTCGTGAAGAAACCGATATAGTGGGAAATAAAACGCAAATTAATTTGACCAAAATTCTTTAGCGTCCGCCATCTTGAATAGTCTGTTGAAATAATTAACTTCCATATGACGTCATTAGCAGGGTAGAATGGAAACAGACCTTGATTTTCGGACTAGTTTTTGGAGAAAGTGAACGTAAAAATTAGTTTCTAGTATTCTTTTATGTAAGACTATGAAGCCGTAAACTGGGCAATACATTTTGTTTTCATCTTGTACGACCAGATGTTTTAATGCTACCCTGCTAATGACTTCACGTGAATAAATTTGCATGTTAAAGATTTTCAAAATGGCGGAACAGGGGACGACTAGGGACGAGTAACAATTCGTTTTCTCGCCACCCTTACAATCCAGGTAAAACACCACCATAAAGACTATTTATGTATATACTTTTAATAATAGGTTGCTTGAATTATATTGCAAATGTCCTTTAAAGTGCTTATAAGCCTTTATACAATATTTTCAGAATTGATTCTTTAAATAGTGAATAGTTGATTGTGAAAATAATTCGTTATTTGAATGTCGGGTCTTTGAGATACGAAGGCTTATATTTCCAATATGTTAATGACTATGACGTAACATAAGGGATTTGAGTTATTTTGTGGCAACTTTTAATATTGAACGCTGGACATTTTAGAGAACAAATTTGTAATAACCTTTACGTGAGTCACGAGTAAAAGGGTGATGCTTTTAAAATACTGTAATCCAGAACGAGTGCAGCGTTGTATATTAAATGATCCCTTATGTTACATCATAGTCATTAACATTTTGGGAATATGAACCTTCGTATCTTAAAGACCCGACATTCAAATGACGAAATATTTTCACAATCAACTATCCACTATCTAAAGAATCAAATCTGAGAATATTGTGTAAAGGCTTATAACCACTTTAAGGTGATTGTCTACTTTTGGTAAACAATTTAAACGTTTTTTAAAACTTCGATTTTCCGAATTAAAATTTAATGCTGATTCCAAATCTGGAAAGCAAAATTAGGTGTCCCGAGCTTGTTTTCGAGATAATCAGCATTTAATGGAAGCCTACGCACGAGCTTTTGGAGTAAAACTTGCGCCACCGGATTTATAAGATAATAGTTATTTGCAGACTATATCATTGCACGAATGAGGGCTAGTCAATCATTCTGAAATAATACATGGATATTTTCAACAAAAAGACAAAGAGATACATTGATTTGTCATATTTTGTAGTTTCGGTGCTCTTAAAAAATCTCATAAAGTCGAACACAAATCCCTAAAAAAATCTATTTTTTCATGTGTTAGAACTATAAACTTTTTCTAAAATGTTGATATAACCTAGATTTTTAGGAGTTTTTTCGAATGAGCTATTAAAAAATACAGAGTCCCGTGCAAAATTTGAGGGTTTTGCACTGTTAAGCTCAAAACGCGTATGGTTCTTCAATAAAATCTTGTAGATTTTTCAGCGGTTTTTGAGCGCGCGCACATCGTGGGCTCATAAATCGAACGTTCAAAAGTAGGCAGCCACCTTAATGTTACATATTGTTAATATTATAAGGTTGCATTTGTACTTACTGCATAGTCTGCAGGATTTTTTGCAGTGTCTTATCATGTAACCTCTTGCGTATCCACAATATCCTGGAAATTGCGCCCACTTTCCACATTGAGGGCGAATATCCATACACCCATTCTCTAAGTAAGTAAAACAGGATTGCGAGAATTTTTTTAGGCGTTAGTAAAGACGCGATTACATGGAGCAATTTGGAGCAACTCCGTTGCGATACAAGTTACAGAGAAAAATTGCTCCATATATCCTACAGTGCAATTAAAAATTTGTGCAACAGTTAAAGTTGCAGTAATTTTTGCAAAATGTAGAATTCCTTTCTACTTTTGGCAACGATTGGGTCTCCGTTGCATGCAACTTGTAAACACTATTGCAATTGCCATTGCAATTCCAACTCGACCCATTTTTCGAAAAAGCAAAACCTTAGAATGTTTAATCGGTAAGGTCAATGCAGAGAAGGGAAATCTCGGTTGATTTTGGAGATATACAATTGTGGAGCATCTGGAGCATTATGTTAGAGTTATTTACCTTCGACGGTGGGATCGTAATTAGAAGCGTAATGCATCCATGGATATGGTTCTACAAAAACACGAAAAAACATAAGCATGGTTAATGATTCGTAGGGCAGATTTTTATAGGAGAAGGGCGGGGG